AAGCCCAAGGGTCTCAAAGGCCGTAAATGAAACTTATTTTACTGAAGATCTGTATGCCAGGACTGTTGTCTGCCTGACCAGCCTGAGGAGCCTCACCAGGTAGCTTGTCCTCCCACACGTGAGAGGTACAGGAGGCAAGGATCCCTACATGCAGAAAGGGAAAAGCTGTAGCAAAAAGCTGCACAACACACATGGCTGAACAAACACCTGAGCTGCAAGCCTGAGGACCATGGGTAGCTTACTTCTGGTCTTGCACTGGCTGCAAATTCTTAGGTTGTTCCCATCTTCCTTTGCATGCCCTGGAGCAACATTTCTTCTTTCTATCTTGCAAGAAGTGGGTAGCTGTGACAGAGAGCAGTTCCTGGAAACCTAGCCCAGATTGTCATGACTGTAGTGTAGTTGGTCCCTGGAGAGAAGGCTTCTTCAGCCGGCCTCTGCTGGACTGGGCTGCCAAACAGGAGAGCGTATGTTCAGGTACGTTTAATGCCATGTGTTGTAGAATAGCTCGATAACTGTCTGGTGCAATTTTGCCTCAATGTGGTTAACATGCAAAGTGGGAGTGTAATGGACTATGGAGTTAAAAATCAGAAGCTATGGTCAAGTTGATGTGTGAGTCAAGAGACAAATGAACAAGAATTTTCAGAGTCTGAATACAAGGTTTTGTTGCACTGAGTTCCTGGATGGCATAGAGCAATTGCACCTCCATAATGAAACAATATTCAAGGAGACGCCCAGAGAGTTTGATTCAAGGCCTGGCTCTTGCAGCTTGTAACCCTGTGGGGAGCGGTACTGCTAGAACTTCACCCAGCAGAAACTAGAGCTGAAGAACCCGCAGGCAGTGCAGTTTACGCCGCTGGCTCTGCGGGTGCACAGCTGTAGTATCCGTGCTCTTGACTTACTGAACTTACTTTAACACAACTTCTTTTACTGTATATTGAAATGATGTAAATTGGGAGCACCCTTATCTTGGAGTAAGCATGCAAGCACGTATTTCAGATCTTATTTGTAGGTAGATGGTTTCTTTCAGAGGCTCGCCTGCCTTGGTGTTCTGCAGCCTTCTGTGTCCTCCCCTGATTTCTGGTCTCTTGTGCTAATGATTCGACAAATGTCTTTCCTCAGTTCTTGTCTTCCTCGTTTTCAAAGAGCAGAGAGTCTACTCCGGCCTTCAGGAATGTTTTAAATTGGGGTATTTGAGTGTATTTATAGCCATATATAAATGGAAGCAAGAGGAATACTTGCAAAGCAGGTGGTACTGGGACACTTGCAGAAAAACGTTATGATTTATACATGGATCATTCCAGGCAAACCTTTTGCTTTGCCTGTAGCCTGTCTTCTACAGAGCCCTTCTCTGTTATGAATATTTATTCTGCTTTGTTGTGGTATTTTAAACTTGCTTTCAGTTTATGAAATGACACATTTGTTTCTTTAAATAACAGGAGGAGTGGAGGGAGAGAATTGCTTGTTTCCTGGGCAGACACGGCTGCAGATCTTTTGTAAGGAGTCTTTAACATGGCTGGAGTGGAGGGTAGCCCAGGTCACCAATACCCCACCCTTCCTTTGGCCTCTGCTTTTGGAGATGTGCTTTACCAGGTCTCTCTGCTACAAAGCGTTCTCTTTTGAGAAATTTTTGTGGCCGCTTTTTTTTGAGAAATGTGCCCCTTTGCCATGTTTCAAAGCAAAAGTCATGTTGCTGTTAGCATAGCAGAGTGCTCAGGTGAAGTTGTGGTGCATAATCACGTAGAGCGAGTCAGATCTCATGCTGTGATGACAAGTGACCCTCCAGGGCAGTCACATTCAGGCTGCAAGACCTTGTGAAGAGAAAGTGCATGCATCTGCCTGCTGAATATCCTCTGAACAGATCCAAAGGAAGTCCCGCAGCTGCGACAGCTGCTTTCCAGAGAGTTGACAAGGGAATGGATTGGGAAGAGCTGGTTCAGCAATCTGGAAAAAGCTGCTTGCAAGCAGTGATGGGGACCACCTGTACCTTTTTCTTAAAAAAAACCTTCAAAAAGCTTTGAGTTTCTAGGAAAGCAGAAAAAACTCAGATTTGCTGGATGAGCAGATTAGAATCAAAAGGTTTAGAAAATAAATCCACCATCTGGCCACTTATGGTTGTGCAAGTTCAATCTTTCTGTCTGATTTTGCTCTCAATTGAGCAATTTCAGTGGCTTCCTGGCTCACATTGGCATTCGGTCCCCTGGCCCCTTCAGAGGTCTTGCTTTTACTCCTGCCTCCTGGGTGAGTGTCTGCTCCCAGCTGAGGGGTCTGGCAGGCTGACGGTGCTGCAGGTTCATTGCAGAGCACATCTCTTACTCTTCCTGTGTGCTCCCCCTGCAGAAGTTTTCCCAGCTACATGAGCCTGGTTGGTGTTATGGAAGGTGGTGTCTTCTCTCAAGGAAGTTTCAGCTAATTCTGAGCCCAGCAGCCGTTCTTGTTGCTGCCCAGCTTGCTTTAACAAAGGAGCGACGCCCCGTGCAGGTATAACACAGCAGTTTGTTGCCTTAGTCCATAGAGACCCCTCTTCCCCGAAACAGTATTTGGAACAATAGTGGACCAGGAAGATAAGTGTCGGATTAATTTGTGAGTGATGTTTATTTTGTGCGCTATAGTTGCATCTAAAGACCAAGTATGAAATAGAGGTTGATGAGATGAAAACATTTGATAATCCTTGCTTTGAACACCTACTTAGGTTTTTGTTATTCTCATATAACAAATGATTAACAAAGTAGTGCATGGGATTTACAAAATGTACCTGTCTCCCTCTCTCTAGACTTTACACACGTCGTGGGCTGGCATGCTTGCATCAGCAGCAAACTGCGTCCCTGGGCAGGATGCACCCCAGGGCTCTTGGCGAGTTGTTGCTTTTTGTGTACCTCAGGGGAAGCTAGGAGGAATATCTGCAAAGCTTTAGAAAGTATCTTTGAGCAACCTCCGCAGAGCAATTGGTGCTCTGAGTTGTTTGGTCAGTCAGAGCTCCGTAGAGAGTGAGTATTAGATACCCTGCTTCAGCGTAGGCTCTGGTTTAGGCAAAAATGCTAGGTGTGAGCCTCAGACTCATGAACCGCAAAACAAGCCTAACTCACCAATCCCTTGTGTATAAAAACCCACAGAGAAAGGTGGCTGGTGGCTGCATAGTTTTTTAATCCCTTTGGGTAGAGCAGACAACTTCTTGGTCTCTTGGGTGACCCCAGGAATAAGCATCACCTTCCTACCTGCCCTCAGGTCCAGTGGGTGCCTTTTCAAAGGGGCATAAAGGAGTAATCAGCTCTCCAGATAATGTGATGGTTGTTCCAGAACTGTCTGTCACCCACTGCAGACAAGCTTTGTGAGGCTTGTTTGAAGTCCCTTTGGTGCCTGTAACCTTGTGAGATGCTGCTCGGGAGGGAACCTGGTAGATGTTGAGCTGTTAATCAGTCCCGGTGTATACAGAAGTTGTGATTCCTTAGTAGAAAGTATTTTTTAGTCTCCATAATGCCTTATCAGAATTAAAGTGACTAGCTCTTCCTCTGGGGCTTACAGTGCATTATGTAATGACTCCTACTGCTCTTCTGAAGAAAAATTTGTTGTTGGGTACATGGAATGTTACCTGTAAATTAACTGGTTTCTTGGAATTCTCACAACTGGTGTGTTTTACAACAAAAAAAATCTGAAAAATAAGAATAATTTCAAGTTTTCCAAAACAACGGAGCTAAAAGAGAAGGGAGTTGCTATGGCCAATTTTCAGAGGGAAAAGGCATTATCATTTGTTTTGTGCCAGACTGGCTTCAGGCTTCAGCTGCAGCAGCGTTAGTCCTGGCACACAAGAATGCGCAGCTTTGCGCAGCATATGGGGTGAAGGGAACCCCTCCTTCCTAGGGCAGCATGTGGGATTAAGGTGGCTGGAGAAACTCACTTGCAGCACTCTTTTTCCACTTTTTTCTTCCATGGTTAGCAGCAGAATATTATCTTGGACAAAGAATTTGATTTGTGACAGTGTTTGAGAGTCTTTTTCTAGCACACTCGGCTAACGCCCAGGAAGCCCACCACATGCCTATTCCTGTCCCTGCTTATGTCCATGCCTTCTTTTATTCCATCTACAGTCATATGTATAGTTTTCCTGAACAACCAAATAATCTGCACCATCAGGCACGATCATATATTGCCAGAGCGCTCTTCATATTGCTGCAACGGCCTGCTCTAGAAATTCTCCTGACTAGAAACACAGGTAGAGCCTTTAGAATAAAAATTAAATCCCTGGTAAACTCTGCCATATTTTTCCTCCATCATTCCTGTTGTATTTATTTTGTAGAAAATTTCTTCCCTGGCTCTGTGGTAACAGTGATTTCTCACAGACCTCACGTACTGTTGTTTACGTTTTTTTCTTCCCTTTGGTGACTCCGCACCACCTGATGGAGAATGATTGATTGGGTTCCACAATTAACAGCATTACCCTGCACATGTTCAACTGCACCAGGACTATCTGGGGGCCATTTTTATATCCCCCCTCACAAAACAAAGGCTGCCTTGGGTTACGTTCTGCCAACAAGGCGCTCAGATCTCCACGCCTCTTGTCTCCCATGGGCAAATATGGTGTTGGCTGCGTGTCCCATGAGTTACAGGCACAGGCTGCTCTTCAGTGGCTGGATGCTGTGGTACAGGTGTGTCAGGCATGGCAGCGAGATGTCAGTATTCCAGTCATTTCCAGTTCACTTCCAGGCAGAGTACAGCTGAAGTACCAGCGTGGATCCAGGCTTTCTGAGCAGAAAGGCCTGCACTTTCAGGCATAGCTGTCAATGGGCAAGGCAGTGTACAGGGTAAGGGGCACCACACCTGATGCACTCAGTGCAAGCATGGCTCTTTGCCTTCTGCAGTTGCAGGTGCTTTGTGTTGCACCAAGAACCAGCTTCTGTCAGGCTTTCAGGCTTCAGTTTGAGCATATACAAGTCTAATGAGAGGTCTTAAAGCTTGCTTTGGCTAGCATCTCTTGTAATACTGGTTCTAACAATATGCCTTTGTTTCAGAATCAGCCGTTTGCTGCTCTGAGGGTTAATTGGCTCTGCTTCCAGCACCATGGACGAACTGCAGGATGTTCAGTTGACAGAGATCAAACCGCTCCTGAATGATAAGGTAATGCTAGCTGCTCCTTTGCGCTCGCAGGTGTGCTCTGGCTGACTTCATGTCTGGCCAGGAGCCCTGATTGCCAGAGTCTGTTTACAGCTTGAAGTACCTTAAGTACTGAAAAACAGGAAATGCTTTCCCAGTCCGATAATCCACCACCACATACTCTTCCAAAGTCTCGGGGAAAGACAGACCACCACAGTTCAGGTAAGTTTGGAGTCCTGGCCATGGTCATGCCTGTACTCAGGATTTACAAAGGCAGTGCAGAAATTGGAAAGGTGGTACCATTTCTGACCTGGAGCTGTAGAACCTCTAATAAGTTCGTGCTTGTTAGAGAAACCTTAGATTGTATCCCATTTTCTTTTTTTACTTACTTTTTTTTTTTTATTAAAAATCTTTTGTCTTAAATTATCCTTTTGTGTTTTGACCCCTAAAACAGCTCTGTCTCCCTGGATTTAGTAATAGAGAGCTATTTCCTTTTAATATCTGCAGAGCCTAGCTAGAGCAGTCCAGGTTCATGCAGTACTGAAACTCTGGAAAATCATTGTATTGTAGCAGCTGTTTAAGGCTTTCATTGTCTTCTGTGGGCTGGAGGAGAGCCATCTGGGCTTTAGGAAAGACGTAGCCTCCTGAGGTTCTGCCACGAGCCCAGCCATTGCTCTGAGTGCCTAAGTTGTTATGGGCCATCCCAACAAGGTCTAGAATCTTGCATCTGCAAATTGCGATGGTGAGCAATGCAGTTTGGTCACTTCCCATACCTAACAGCCAAGTTTGATGGGATGTGAAGCAGTTCCCGATGCTTTGCTGTTTAATGGCTGACATCAAGAACTGGCTTGTACTGCCAAAGGGTTGTGGTACTTTGTCCACTCACTGTGTGCTTGCGGAACACTGTGCTGTCTAGTGCAGACTCCCACCCAAAATGGGTGAAATCTCTGAAATTCTGCTGTGTTTTAGTCTGTGCTGCTTAGTTTTTGCTAATTTCTTCAGTGTGGTAGTAGTGTATCCGTTTATTATCTGTAATATCTAAGAATTCAGCCAAAATCTGCCACCCAGTATCTGTAAAATCTAAAAATTCAGCCAAAATCTGCCACCCAGTGTCTGTAAAATCTAAAAATTCAGCCAAAATCTGCCACCCAGTATCTGTAAAATCTAAAAATTCAGCCAAAATCTGCCACCCAGTGTCTGTAAAATCTAAAAATTCAGCCAAAATCTGCCACCCAGTATCTGTAAAATCTAAAAATTCAGCCAAAATCTGCCACCCAGTGTCTGTAAAATCTAAAAATTCACCCAAAATCTGCCACCCAGTATCTGTAAAATCTAAAAATTCAGCCAGAATTTGCCGTCCACCTGCCTATTCTTACAGTCTAGTGCTGACTGCTAGGCTTCCACCATAGCTTAAACATAACTTTTAAAATGTTTCCAGGGAGGGTGAGTCTTGGAAGAACAAAATCAGCATAGGCCAGCAGATAAAAATATAGAAAGGCCTTGAAAAAAGTTTATGACTTCAGAATGAGAGATAAATGTTTACAGAAGACAACCTTCCTCAGTGCAGTGCCCCTGATCTGGCTCAGGATTCTCCTAGGGTTTTCCATGTTTGAGTTCAAGAGGGTAGATTTCCCTGGCTTCAGTGAGCTGACCTAGTGGGATGCATTGAAGCATGCCAAAGCAAAGTACTTTCACTTTGTAAGTTTTCAGTCTCTCTGTCAGGTGTTGCCTGTCCAGGCCCATCGGGTCCCTGCCGTGGTGTTACTTGCACAGCCACTTCTCTTGGCTAACAGCTAGGACAGTGCTGGCTTAAATGCAGAGTGCTTACCTCAACAGCCCTGTGGTGGTAACCAGCATACAGAAGGGCACGTGCAAAGTGATATTTGGTTTCCTTGACTCGGTTTTGAAGTTACAGGAAGTATATACTATCTCAGTAGGAAAAAATACGCGGAGTGGCTCCCGAACTGTCGTCAGCACTGCGTGGTAAGAGAAGTGTGCTGTGGTTCTCCTTTTTACACTTCGTTGTAACAAAAGAAATGCCTCGAGGAGCTACCATCTCTGAGGTCTGGCCCTTATTAATGCTTTCAAGCTTGAAATAATACACACATGCTTTTTAGACATAGTTTATGGAGCATATGGGTGTGGTGCCGCAACACGCTGTTCTGTGCAGCGTATCGGAGTCCAAAAAGCGTTGAGCTGGCTGTTCACTAAGATTCTCCTGACCAACCCACTTTAGGTGTAGGAGTGTGAGCCAGCACGGATTAATGGCCAGAAATAGTACAGTAAAACTCTTAAGGTGCTAATGGGTGAGTGCTCATGGACTCTTCAGATACAAAGGCTAAACAGAGGAAAGCAGCTCTGGTCTCTTAATACTCAAACTCTAAAACCAGTGGAATTGCCTGGGAAATGGAAATGTGTCATATGTTGTTCATGCCACTGGGGACCACTGAGTCCTGGCTTTGTTTTGTCTCAAATCTAAGTCAGCAGAAAATTACAAGCCTGACTTAAAGAATGCAAACACTTTTATGTTTGTGTGTAACTTAATATGTTCACCTCATTCAGGCTCACTAAAATGCAGTGACTTTATACGGGGGAAGAAAAATGTTCCCATTTAATTGGAAGAGAGAGAAAAAGAGAATACTGCCTGTAACCTCATCAGAAAACTTATTCCAATGACACTTTATTATTCTGGCTGGTCCAAATTCTGGCACCTTTGACTCCTATTAACATAGCCCCAGTGACATGTTACTGAAATGCAGGAGCTTAAATTGGGTGATTGAATGGAGAGTCCTTAGGCTGGACTGGGTCGTTCCAGCTAGCTCTTTGCCTTTGAGCTGCAACTGTCACACCTTCAGAGGACTGAAAAACATGCCTTAGTCTTAGACTTTCTCAAGTTAAGGCAAATAGTAGATTAATGGTTTGAAGTCAGATTTCAGTTTGTTAAAATCTATTACCTGAGTCAGGACACGTCAGCACTGCTGCTACTTGCGCGTGGTGGTGTACCCTGATCACAAGCAACGCAGCTGCAGACCTTCCTTGGTTGCTTGGTGTCGTTTCCTCCCTGCTCCCTGCCCCGGGCAATCGTGCTTTTCTCAGCACAAATTCAGATCAACCTTTTCTTTACTTAGCGTGCGCCATCCAGGTCCAGTGCTGGGTACAGAAATTCCTCATTTCTTCATAGGCTTTTTTGCAGTCCTTACCCGTTGTGAGTGAATGAATTTACCTTCTTTATAACCTGGTAGATGAGAAGCGTCAGAAACCTCAACTAACTACAGGTTCTTAAACTGAAATAAGAGGGGGCTGCTTTTTATTTTCTGAGGATTTGGTCCTTTGTACCATGTCACGTTCAAAACATTGACACAGTTCAGTACTTAACACTGGGGGATTCTTAAAACAGATTTGCAGATATCTCAGCTTCAGCATCTCAGACTGAAGAACATAGGTAGCAACCCATGTTCTTGCTAATGTGACAAGGCTTTGGGGGAGGACATCAGGTCCATTTGTTTACACATGGAGAGGAGTTTGGGTGCTCAGCCAGAAGAAATGTTTGAGGTGTTTCTGTTGCGCATATATGGTCCTAGAAGTAATTTTAGCACTAAGGTGCTATGCCTAAAATACCCAAGTTATTGTGCTGTCTCAAATGGTTTGCTCAGCCTTTTGCAGCATTTGACAGCACGCAGTAGCATAACCTGCTCTGTGGGCAGAGCCAGAGTCTAATGAAGCACGTGGGCATACGGACAAGTTACTGCAGACATGCGAACTTGCAGTACACCAAATGTGTGCTGTACTTAACTGTGCTTGCCTGTAGACATGGTGTCACCCTCTGGGAAAAGTCTGTTGTGAATTGCTGAGCCCAGTTCCCATGCACTCTGGTTTCAGTAGCTTGTAGGTCACTGCGATTGCTGTGGCACAGTACATACTAACGCACACAGCAGTTATGGCAGAGTACCTGACTGCTTGTTCTCTTGCGCTCATTACGTGAGATCCTAGTGGCAGTCCCCTCAAGAGTTTTGCATTCAAATTGTTAATGGGCACAAGTACCAGATAAAACCCAACCTTGCAACCAGCCTGACTCTGGTCAGGGTCCTTCCTACGTGCCTCTGTCCCCACTCAAATGCGCTCAACTCTCAACTGTGTCCACAGGGTACTCTCCTTAGTTGACAGCCTTGGGACAGCCCCCAGCAAACTTGCTGTATAGTAATGGGCAGAACTTGTTTGGTGTTTTCTTGTATGGGTCTCACATTTTGCTGCTGTCCTTAGACTGTGCTGAAGCAGAGGTCTCTGAGGAGAGCTTTCATGATGTTGGGGGTGTTCTGGGGTACTGTGCTGAACTCTTTTTTTTTTTTTTTTTTTTTTTTTTTTTTTTTTTTCTCTCTGATTTTTGTTAACAGAATGCAGCTCGCAACTTCCAGGACTTCGACTGTCAGGTAAGACACGTGCAAGAGACAGAGGTCTGTGGGCAGACTCCCCATGGCCCATCAGTAATGCTGGGAGAGAGATATGAAAAAATCTCTGTGTCTTAATTTTAACTCCTGTTAAGGTTTAATCAATAACAACTGGAATTTGTCTAGTTGGCAGAAATTGCTCTTCACCCTGTCATGCAGAGCTCATTGTTTTGAGCTCTGAGGTGCAGACCTGGACTGCTCTGCCAAGGCTCTGCAACATCTCACAGGATGGCTGCTCTCCTGAAAAGTAGTTTCTTTGAGGCATGCAATATGTTGAGCTGCAGCTCTGTCACATCCCATCTGGTTCACTGGCTAGGAAAGGAGGAGCCTGCATGCTCTGTCTATTTGTGTTGAGAGGAGATGGAAGTCACCAGGCTGCCCCAGATACAGCACCCCTGCATTGCTGGGCCTGGGTCGTGACAAAGCCACGGTCATTTTTTGGGGGTTTATTCACCTGCCAAAGTAGTGCGGGGATGAGCCTGATTGCTCCGGTTGCTATAGCAATAATCCTTTTAGTGGAGCGGTTGCACCACAAGCATCCAAGACAGAGGACACATTCTTTGTTAGGTGGAGCATAGCACTGAGATTAGGTGGTGCGTTTTGTAGAGCACAGGCTCATTTACTGTGCCGGATTACCTTGCTGACTTCCCACTCAGCATGCTGATAGGCAGCCAGCAGCTTTTCTTCCACTTCACCTGCCAGAGGCTGCTGTGTCTGTAGTGTTCTGCTTAGCCCCGGACTGCTCTCGCTGCTGTATTGCACCAGTGGTGTGGCTAGGGGGTAGAGCTGTCAACATCACGTGGTAGCTTTTCATAGAAGTCTGTTGGTGTTGATGATTCCAGAAAACCTTCTGCAAGCCTATGCAGAAAATATGGTCCCAAGAAGATAGTTTGTATTTTTCCCATCTCTTGATAACAGACACTGAAAGTACACCCCATCTGGGCAGGCACATGTCACTGTACTGCTTTAGCTTAATTCATTGTGAGTTTTAGTGTTATCGTAAAGCCTGTGAGTATAAAAATTACCAATCTTAGCACATTGTAACTTTAGTGTCTAGTCTTAGAAGTGGCAACAGTGTTAGACAATGATTTTTCTGTTTTAATAAAGGTAGATAATGAGTTTAAAACACTTCCCTGTCCCGTCTTGTCTCCGTCTGCCTTTCTGCATCTTCTCCATCTCTGTGAGAGGTACAGTGTGCTCCCATGTTGGATGGGGAATGGGTAAAAATAGATGCAATGTTTTTAAATAAGAGCGT